GAGCACAACAGCCATCTTCAACAGCAAATCATACAGTAATGATGCGCACGGGCATACCTATGAAGAAGAGCACATGTAGGAGGGTTGGCTGGGGAGTGAATGCTATTCTGCACTTTTCAATTTTCTCCTGCATAACCTGATTATATCTTTCTGTTCTCCCTTCAACTATGCTTCAATTGGGTTGTTTGCTCTTTCACCCCAGCAAATGAAAAGCCTATTTATCTACTAATGGTATATTGGTTTTTTTAATGCTCAGGTGTAGGGTTTTGTTTTGTTTTGTTTTTGTAAACTGTTTGAACCACTTTAGAAACTGTTTGGAGACAGTTGGTTTTGTGGTCCATACAAGAGCATCTCTCAGCACTGTTCAAATCCAGCTTCTGCCCAAGCAGTTCCCCTCCGAATAACAGGATCCATCCAGGAAAGAAGCCTGTGGGTTTGTGTAGGATGAAAACTCACACTTGAGGGTTGAATATAGGTTGTCATTGAACCATGGATTGTTGTTGAAATGTGAGTGGATTCACACATTACAAGCAACAGGGTCTGTTATTTATTTATTATATTTTTTAATTTTTTGCATATGTTGATCGGAATCCTGTTGTGGTATTTCAGCACATTATGTTTGGTTTTTAAAACCATGAAGAGAAGCAATGGTTTGTTCTAGGGTTTCTTGGTACTATGATGGTTTGTTCTGTCATATGAACTGGAAAACACAATTCACTGTGGTACCAAGGCCAGAACCATGGAGCTGCTTAGGAAGAGTGGCCCATTGCTGCTCTTGCCAAGCAGCTAGCCAGAGAGAGCCACAGACAGCTGTTGCTTTGTGAAATTGTAGCTGGTCTCAGATAACATTAAGAGTCCACATTTCAACAACCCAGCCCACACTCAACCCATCCTCAACCCTTGCATGTGGGTTATACCATTGCCTGAGCCCAGTCTATGTGTCTAAACAGCCATGAGTATGCTTCCACAAGAGTATGTATCCAAGAACAGCCAAAACCATTCCATACGAAAACACACCCCTTAAATAGTCTATGTAGATCTACAAACTGGTCTATGTTTGGGATGAGAGGTTCAACCCATATTACATGCACATATTATCAAATTAGTTTTTAGAGAACATTTTTAAAAGCAATTTTTCACATGGCAATGTTACATCAAGATTAGGGATCCATGCCATTTTTCCTGAGGTACATCTATGGAAAAACCCTGGTGGAATGGTTACAGATCCATCAGAAAGCATTGTCATATTCATTAAAAAAGGGTTTCAGAACTCCCGTCCAGGATAGCCACACCCTTTCCCTTCATCCACCAATCACTGGGGGGTTTCTTGGATTTTTTGCAGTTTTACCCCAGTCAAAAAGGTTAAAATGCCTCTCCTAAGCTTAGTATCCACCAGCAAGGGCTTTAAGCTAAAATATGATGATATTTTGACCCTACCCACTGCTGGAATGCATCCACAAAGAGCTTTCCTGGAATGAAATTTGGCCTTCTAGGGGGGCCTTCAGTACCCTTTTATTAAAGCACACCAATGGACCCTGTGATTACCAAAGCAAATGTAGCCCCCAGCTAGGTAGTATAATCAGACAAGTTCCTGATAATTCCCTGTTTTTCTGCTCTCAGCCAGTTCCCATATTTCCCCTTTACAATTTATTTCAAGTATTAGCGAATATGTATTTATTTTCACATTTATATTAATATTAGATACGTTTGGAGGCCTGTTCATTAGATCATTAATCACATTTCTAAAAATGACACTTGAACATTCACCTTGTTTTATTTCAGTTATGAGCTTTGAGTGTTGGCACAATACCTTTAATCAAAGTGGAATCTTATACTTACTATGAGATTAAAATGAACTTCTGTTCTTAAGCAAACATCTTAATGGGAGGGTCTTAGGAACACATCCAGACACAAGTAGTTACAGATGTGCTGCTTCTTTTTCAACTGAACAAAAGATTTGCCTGCAGGTGCTACTGGAAAGTCATTAAATTCAGGCTGAAAACTCCAACTTTAAAGAAATATACAGCACAGATATCTCTTGATTCATACATGTTTGGAAATGAGAAATGCAAAATGCATGCCCAAAGAAGGTGAAATTTGACAATAGGAGAGATAAAAAGTAATGTGCAAACAAAAAAAAATACTTCATGATGGGTGGTCATTTCATATACCAGAGATGTAGTTGTCTTAAAATGCTAGGAACAATAGATAGATGGCAAAAGAAGAAGGGGATGGCAGAGAATGAGGTGGTTAGTTGGAGTCACTGAAGCAGTTGGTGTGAGCTTGAGTGGACTCTGGGGGATGGTGGAAGACAGGAAGGCCTGGAGGAATGTTGTACATGGGGTCACAATGGGTCGGACACGACTTTGCAACTAACAACAACAAGTTGTTTTAAAACTCTTCAACTTTCTTCTGGCTATGATCTGTTTCCTTTCTTAAACACATAGTTTTAATGTGTACAAAAGAGCTATGAAAATGCAACAATAGAAGCATACTCTCTGATTATTAGTAACACAGATTTGAATGTTGATGTGTGACTACCCAACCAAGCGGAAACTCCTGCATGGCTGAAGATGACAGCCAGGCTGATTTCCAACTGGGCAGTTCTGCATAAATGTCTACTTGTAATTTAGTCATGCTATTCTACTTTTAACATGAAGCTGGTATAATTCTGCATTAGTAGTGAAACAAAAGTACTGCTAAACGGTACTGACCCACAGATGCTTTGGATGATAACTGATCTAGAGCAGGCCAGCAGCAATCTGGTTAAGGGATTTCACATTCTCAAATCTTGTCCAAGACTAAGTCTGCCATCACCATACAGACTGTCCTTAACCTTTAAGGCAACAGGTTCAGGTTCCTCAGGCAAAGCATCAGAGAACTGACACCCTTGCAAATGCACATACAAGGCCATCTCACTTTTCCTGACTGAGAAGACAGAATACCACCTTCAATGCTGGAGATGGTTAAATGTCACCCTTGTCTCAGCTGAAGGCTGTTTGTGTATTCATCATGCCAGTGGCACTATTTCTGCACACAACTGGATTCTGGCTTTTAGTGGCATTATATTTATACTTAATTTATACTGTTAAATTATATTGTTTTATATGATGTTATTTATTTATGTTTGTGAGCCACCCCGAAGCTTTAGCGAATGGGGCAGCATAGACGTTCCCTAAATAAATAAATAAAATATTCTCCTTTTCTGAAAGACTGCCCACATTTGGCAGACTTTTTTCCTATAACTTGGATTTACTTCAAGGAGAATAGGCAATATAGACAGTAGAATTGCAGCACTTAAAGCTCTGTCTTCTGGATATAACTTTCTACCTGATTCTTGCTGTTCAGGCTTCTGTTCCAGGACAATCTGCTTCCAGCTGGTCCATGGGCTCTACTGAAAGCACAATTAATTACATTCTATGAAGCATCAAAGGCCAATGCATTATATCTCACACTGAACTCTATAGGTTTTGCTTGTGAGTAAGCATATGTTGGATCAGGTTATAAAAGGATGTCATCTTATATGTATTCTAGAGGAACAACCATGTTAAGTCTGTGGCAGCAAAAACAACAGAGTCTTGCAGCACCTTAAAGACCAACATATCTATTCTGGTATAAGCATTTGTCAACTTTATCAAATGCATAACATGTCAGCTTCAAACTGACTGATCTATATTCATGTCTGCAGGGGTGGGTCAGGACATGCAAACAGTGATATCAGAACTGAAATGCAAAAAAATACCAGCAGTGATACGTAATTAGCTAAACAACTGCCATTTGTAAAACCTTGTTGATAACACAGACATCACTGCAATGGTGAGCCCATTAAGTTATTTGATTAAAAACCTTTTCCTTAGTCCAACCATAGGAAATAAGAGTTGAATTTCTTAATAAATTTCTGCTGAATTGAGTGTGTGTGAGAGAGAACAATGGAGGTATTTGAAAAGAATCCTGAGGCAAGGATTGACCTGGGGCTCAGCCCTTGATGCAAAGTGATAGAAGTGGTGTTTTTTAAAGGAATTTGGCAAATTTATGTGTAGGTTTTTTGAACATCCTGGCAGTTCTAAGACTAAATAGAACTTTCATATTCAGGGAAAGTATGATGAGGCTAAGAGCTGGGGATGACCATCATATATATCCTTCCTAGGAGAATCTGGCTAGTAAATGTGCAAAAGAGCTCCAGCATCTAAAATAGTGTGTGCAAGTTTGCATGGCAAAGTGCACCTACTAAAATGTTCCAAGTACAGGAACCCAGTGTTGTATTGCAGCTGGCCTTCCTACTGGCTACCGCATACCAGGCTCCCATCGTACAGCACCAGCCCTGCCATCAGGCACAGTGAGCGTCCTGAGATATTACACTGTACCATGCAGCTTGCCCTGCAAATTTTGCTGCCCTGAGGTGCAGCAGAAAGCACTGTCCAGTCAGCAGCACGGAAGTGACATTCAGTTGTTGGTCCGCTAGGGCTCTGAATGCTGACAGCAAGGGCGGGGACATCTCGTCTCAGCCTGGAAATTTTATTTATTTATGCATATATTTACTTGAACTTACTTCCCTTTACTGGTCTGTCCTTACTGGATCAGAATGCAAAGCACATTATAGAGAAGGAAAGTTAATGATGAGGTGGAATTTGAAGCTGGCAAGTGCATTCAGAACTGGGTGCCCTTTTCTTGGTAGAAAGTCAAAGAGAGGCATCAGCGCAAGGTGTAAATAAGGCTGACATACTGTGCAACTGCGTTGCAATATGCCTTGCTTCCAAAGATGCATCTTCCTGATGCCTAAGCGCACCTTCCTAAAACCGAGGCTGGTCGGACTCATGCGGTGGAGCGTCGCCCTGTCGCGAGCCGTTCAGCTCTATTGACTGTCAGGAAACGGACCGCACCGTTTATTATAGGCTGGCTGGGGGAGGAGGGGTAACGGGAATTTGGGAAGGAGGGAGAGCACATCTCGCGCTCGGCAGCCCGGCTCTCGCGAGGGTTCAGTCACGCCGCCGCTGCCCGAGCGGCTTCGCTGCCCCTGTCACTCGCGGAGCCAGCGCTATGGCAGCGCTGCGGGGTCTCCTGGGCTGGCGTCGTTGCCGCTTCTCCCGCGGCGGCCGCCCGGACCTGCCTAACCGCAGGCAGCTATGGAGTGTCAGGGCCGCGGAGGCCGGCGGAGACGGAGCGTCGCGGGGGCTGAGCGCGGCGGCCGCGGGGGCTGCTGGCGGGGCGCTCGCTTGGTTCTTCTGTCAGCACTTCTACGAGCGGCCCCGACAGCGAGAATTAGCGGAGCGGCGGCCGCCGACGCTTGCAGGCAGCCGAGGAGGAGGCGGAGGAGGAGCAGGCGAACCTGGCCGGGGACTGCTGCCCATCCCCGTAGCGGCTGCTGCCAAGGAGACGACGGTAGGTGTTGGACGAGGAGGACACCAAGGGAGAGACCGCCCCGCCTCGGCCTGCTCCTGTCTTCCCGGGGGCGGGGCCCGAGAGGATGGCTGCCTCGCTGGATGCTCTCGCTGAAGCAGGTGGAGGCGGGAAAGGGCCGGCGCGGTAGCCTAACAGCGGCGCCGCCGCCCCCGTCCCCGGGCAGCACTCTGTGCACTTAGAACGGTATCGAGCTAGGCAGAAATTCGGGATGAAGATGCTGCAGGGATGGCGCATGCTCTACCTGTTGAGTAGCTGCCTCTACTGCACCTGTAAAACGCACAAGCCTGTCCGAAAATAAAAGGAGAGAGCACGTTGGGCAGTACACAGTTTCGGTGGCGACCTGCCTTTCTGTCTCTGCAGTGCGGTCCTTTTGCTCTTGGTGGCGGGAACATTGCTTGGGTCAGCGTTTCTTATCCCAGCTGATGTTTGGAAAGGGGAAACAAGAGGAGTCGAGGAAACTGCCTACCAAGGATGCACTGTCCTTGGTGTAGTTCTCCTTCCTGGCCCGCTCTTTCTGTTTTTGGCAACGTCCTTGCTTGTCATCATTTGTCACAAGTTCTTTCAAACCGGATCCTTTCCTTGTATGGGTGAGAAAGTTCCATATAGGGAAGTAAATGTTATTTATTTATTTATTCAGTCATTCGAAGAAATGCTACTGGGCTCTTTGTTGAAAAGTTTCCTAGAGCAGTTTTGGTTTTTTGTTTTGTTTTGTTTTTTATCTCTCAAGATGTTCATACAAATCTGTTTCATTACACATGGGAAGTTGAGATTCATCACAACTTCCTACTGCAGTTGTGTGTGCAGCAACATAGACACATGTGCAATACAAGTGTGTTTCTCATCATACAAAATGCTTTCCATGCAGGAAATTAATTGTGTTATGAAGGGGTGGTAGTGTGCCCCCTACCACTTGCAGTAGTTCTAGAAACTGCTTTTTCACATGGGAGCTGCCATGCTCTCTGCTACACTAGTGTTTGGCTTTTATTTTCTTTACAAAACTCAAACAGGAGTTTCCCAATCTGACTCTTAACTGATATTGGCAAACTAATACTAACTTTTTTAAAAACCTGCTTTTTATGAAAGAAGTATATCAAATTGCCAGTTGATTTGTGTAAATAATTTTTAAACCTGAGCAGCTGGTGACAGTAGATCCATATTTTTGTTTACATAAGATGCCTATAAATACCTCAAGCAGATGAGATTTTCATTTGGTAGTTCATTGTGTACTTTCTGATTCTTACAAGTATCTGAAATATACAAGTATGTAACAATGGCTATTGAGCAAATCTAGACACAGTTTTGCTTGTCAAAAATGCTATACTTAACAATTTTGCACAGGATATTTATACTAAATAAGAGCAATCCAGGTAGCCATGGAATTTTTCATTATAATTTTTCAATTTAAATGCATCTTGTCTTCAATAGTATAAAACAGTTTCCTCTGTGATATTGCTACAATATGCTGTAGACAAAATGTTAGATGAACTGTTGCTACCCATGCTTCCATAACTTTTAGCCATCTCCAGTTTAGTTTGATCTTACTTGATTCTATCAGGTTGCTACAGAAATGCACATCTATTTCCTACTAACTGTTGCTTGTCTTACTATATTATCAAGCTCTCCATGTAACCTGTTCTCAATGGTAATTGTCCATTGGAACTGTTGGGGTGGAGGACAGAGCAGATGCTCAGCTCTACTAATGTTTCTGCAGAGGTGTAAGAAAGGACCATGTTTGGGACCAGGAAATACTGGATCAAATATACCTTGTTGCAGCAGCAAGTGGTGGGAGACAGCCAGGCAGTCACAGCCCCATTTACGCCAAATGTAGAGTGCCTCTGCTGTTCAGGATGATTTCCTCCTAACTGCTATAGCAACTTTAAGCCCCAGCTTTGATCTAATAGCCAGATATAAACCTAAAGAAACTAGGGAAGGGGGAGGCTTCCTTTATGAGAGAAAATTGTGAGGAAAAACTGCCTGTAACATTTTCAGGTTAAGAAGAGAGCTGGGTTGATACTTGGAGCCAGTAATGACATAGGAAGTAGCTAATATATGCCCCATAGCTAATAAGTGCCCTTAGAACATGCTTCTACCTGATTTTCAGCAACCTTCCAAGACCACAGCATTTAAGAAAGCCCATGGATCATCAGGAGCAACGGCTGCAATGGAAGAAAGGGATGAGGAAGTCATCTAATCATGCTGCCAGTGCATCTCTGAATCCAAATCAAGATCTATATATAGCCCCTTCTACTTCTGTGCTGAGAAAGGAGTTCGGCAAGGCTGTATACTGTCGCCCTGCCTATTTAACTTATATGCCGAGCACATCATGAGAAAGGTGGGGCTAGATGAATCACCAGTTGGAATTAAGATTGCTGGGAGAAATATCAACAACCTCAGATATGCAGATGATACCACTCTCATGCCAGAAAGTGAAGAGGAACTAAAGAGCCTCTTGATACGGGTGAAGGAGGAGAGTGCAAAAGTTGGCTTGAAACTTAACATTAAGAAAACTAAGATCATGGCATCCGGTCCTCTCACTACCTGGCAAATAGATGGGGAAGAAATGTAGGTAGTGACAGATTTTATTTTCCTGGGCTCCAAGATCACCACAACCAAGAAATTTAAAGATGCTTGCTCCTGGGGAGGAGAGCTATGGCAAATCTAGACAGCATACTAAAAAGCAGAGACATCACCCTGCCAACAAAAGTGTGTATAGTCAAGGCTATGGTTTTCCCAGTTGCAATGTATGGCTGTGAAAGCTGGACCATAAGGAAAGCTGAGTGCCGAAGGCTTGAGGCCTTTGAATTGTGGTGCTGGAGGAGACTCCTGCGAGTCCCTTGGACCACAAGGCGATCTAACCGGTCAGTTCTAGAGGAGAGCAACCCTGACTGCTCTTTAGAAGGCCGGATAGTGAAGATGAAACTCAAATACTTTGGCCACCTAATGAGAAGGAAGGTCTCCCTGGAGAAGAGCCTAATGTTGGGAACAATAGATGCCAAAAGAAGGAGGGGACGGCAGAGGATGAGGTGGCTAGATGGAGTCACTGAGGCAGTTGGTGTGAGCTTAAGTGGACTCCGGGAGATGGTGGAGGGCAGGAAGGCCTGGAGGAATGTTGTCCATGGGGTCGCAATGGGTCAGACATGACTTCGCGACTAACTACAACAACACTTCTGTGCATGATCAACATGCATATGTGCAGCAAGGTAGACCAGCAAAGGAGAATCCCTTCACTTTTGCAGTCAAAATGCTGGAAGATAAGAATACTGTGCCTATAACAGCCACTTGAGTTGCAACTGATAAGGACAGCTTCTGTCAGGTCCTAGCTTCTTATTTGCTATTTAGTATTTTTATTTTGGCATTTCTGTTTTCCATTGGTTTAAGTGTATATATGCTGCTGCTGCTGTTAGTGGCAAAGTTGTGTCCGATATATACATGGTTGCAAATTCGTTTAAAGTTGAGAAACACATACTTGCATCTTGCTGAAAGACTTCACTATCTGGTTGCTGTAACAGCTGATGTGCCTACCATTCTGTGTCTCAGGAGGACTTACAAATACTTGAGAGTACAGCAAAGAGACAACAGTCATTCTGTCTTCTGACTGCCTCTGTTGGTCCCCCCATCCTCATGCACCCGCATGTGTGCACACACTTTTTAAATTTCAGAGGCAAATATTTTATATGTGGAATATGAATGCATATCTCTGAAGGTGGGGAAAATGGGGATGATATGCAGGAAGTACAGCTCCTGGACATAATTCAAGATTCTTAGTTTCTTATACTGGAAGGAAATTTTACTGAAGCTATAGAATAATGATGCTGGGAACAAGGAATGAAAGTGCATTATTCCTGTGATGTCAGGGATGCTGTGCAAGAATTTAAGGAGTCCTACTGTACATGGCAAGAAGACTTCTAGATTCCCCATTGCTAGATCCAAAGGTACCGAATGATCTTGGCTAAATCATCAAGTACATTTCTCCTAATCTGATATTTTCCACTCTCAGATCATTTTAAAGCTCAATATGCATTGTTTACTTTTCTATTTTTGCTCTCACTGAAGATACTACAAACAGTCCTAACCTCTTTGAAATATGCATTTATTAGCATATGAATTTAGAAGTAGTGAACTACTCCCAACCAGTTAAGTGGGTTTCAGGCATGGGCCTTGGATGCTTTGTGAGCAGACATATTCAGCATTGGGATAAACTGATTCATTGACAAGTACAAGGAGTATGAAACTAGAAGCACTGGAACAACTTTCTGCCTGAAGGGATTATTAGGCCATCATACTTACATACAAGGTGACTACAGATCATAGAATCTTAGAGTTGGAAGGGACCTGAGAGCCATTGGGTCCAATCCCCTGTTCAGTGTAGAACTGCAGGTTAAACCATCCCTCTCAGATGACTGTCCAGTTGCATCTTGAATGCCTTTAGTGTGGGAGAACCCACAACCTCCCTAGGTAAATGGTCCCATTGTTGTACTGCTCAAAGGAATGTCTTCCTTTGTTGCCTGGCCTTCTTCCCATACATGTCATTTTTTGTTAGGGTTTCTTCTGTTCTTTTCTACACTTTTTCCTTGTTGGAATTGTTTGTGATTGTGCCTTTAGAATTTCCTTTAAAAAATGATTCTATAATTACAAGAAGAAGCCTTGCTTCCTCCTAGGATTCTAATCTCTTCCCTTTCCTCTCAGCATGGCTGTGAAAAGACCAGAAGCTTCAACTTTGCTTTAAATTAACTACAATTAAACTCCCATCTGAACACCAAACTGAATTAGAAAGTTTCTGATTGAAGGGACTATTAGGCCATCATAATTTTAATCGTAACTTTAGTTAGTGGAAATATGTCAGTATCAGTATTGCTTGCTGTTCTGTACTGTTTTTCTGGAACCATCCATATTGGCATATAAAAATTCAGAAAAGGAAAATTATAAACAGGTAAAGAAAGTGAGAAGTATCCAATGCTGACTGCACGGAATCTTCTGCT